CGGTGCCTGTTGGTCCCACATGATCCTTTTTTTCTTATGTTAGTTGAGAGCTGAGTAATGAGATAGCCACCTGCCAGTGACCTCGCTGTGTGGTCTAATTCCTTCTGGCCCAGTAGTGTTGACGGTCTTTAAATATGTATAACAAAAAAGCATATGTTACCATATCTAGATTTTGGGACAAGCCCCCAATCTGTTGGGTTGGGGCAATTAGCCCACATTGTCCCCTTCCACAAGTTAGAATTAAATTAATACAATAACAAACCAAGACGATTTGTTACCTTTTATTCGTGGTTTACTATATCTAGATCATCTCTTGGAATGAGCATATTCCGAATCGTATAATTTGCATATTCATAACAACTTAAACAGTACTGCAAATTCATCGGTTATAACATTCATATACCAGTGAAAAACAATCATTTTTTTCCTGAGGTACAATACATTGTTCATTTTTATATCATTTTACCAAGAATTAATGACTGTCATAGCAAGGTATGCGAAGATATTCAATAGGTGTTAGTTTTACTCATCTAGGCAGATGTTATTGGTTTCGCGTAACAGGTCATGGTCTTATTCCTATCTTAAATATATATATACATGTATGTAATATTTGGCGCTTTGCTACCTTCACTGTATAATAACAACAACTAATTGATTGTGGCTAATCTCACAACTTTACAGCAGATTGTACTGATATTTATGGGTAGAGGTTTATTGTTCCTACTTCCATTACGATGTTAACAATCAATTATTCAAAGAATATATATGCAGATTCAGCACTCAAGTATGTCTTTGATCTGTTGTTTATGGGGAATCGGTTACAGTAGTGAACTACAATGTGTATGAATAATTTCCATTATATTGTAAGGTATCTTCTTGTTGACATTCATATTATCATATTATGATATTGTTAAAGAAACTGTACATTAAATAACTCTATGTTAACTAAATTACATGCCAATTCGTGTATGTCTTTTTTTGTATTGAAATTGTCTTTTTTATTTTTTGGTCACTAATTCACGGTACATTGATATATTTGACAAATGATTCACACACCAGTGAAAATGAACATTTGATTACATAATACATTGAATGTTATACAGCTTATTAACATATCAAAGATCTTCTTTTTTTTTTAATTTTTTTTAATCTGAATGTGGATATTCATTGGGCCATGCCCTGCCACCTGCTGTCATGGGCAGCTTTTTTTCTCATTGCGTATAGCAATGTATCTCTCCATTTTGTACGATTTGATTAATAAGGAAATGAAGTTAGAAATATTTGGTTTAACTAATTTGCATCTATTTAGGTAAATTGTTTTGTTTGCAATTATTAGTATATGATTAAAAGAATATAATTCTTCGATAATATACCAAGAATTACCATTTGTTCGGTTAAAATCGAGAAATCAAACATAGTCAGCTCTTTTCCGAGCTGATTCCAAAAATCTTGTACTATTGTAAATTTCTCAAAAAAATGTTCGATCGTTCCATTTTTTAGGTCACAAAAAGGACATAATGGGGAACCAATGACTTTCATTTCATACAGTTTGTAATTCAAATTCAGAATATTATGTAATACTTTGCACTGAAATTCTCTGTAAATTACATCAATTGTAGTTGAAATGATACCTGAACGAGCCAATGACAATTCTGTATCTGAAACATCATATATTCTGTTTATTCAATCACCGTTATGACATGAGATGATGAGTAAAGTAAATTTGCAAGATTGTCAAATTTCACACAATACCAGTCTTTACTGCTGGTTTATTTTGTCAATTTAGAAATGTGCTGAGTCACCTGAGTGTTTTTGTTATAGTTAACCCGTTGACTACTGAATTATCTAATTCCCATAGACTTAACACAGGGACCACCAGGTTTCAGTAAGCAATGGGTTAAATAGTGAGAAAATGTTCATGATTGAAGTTGCCCATGTGCTAACCATTTGATTGAAATTAGTGTAGAGTGAAAACATCTACAATGATGAGATGTGTGAAGTATGTTCAACATAATGTAGGCTTTTAATGTGTTTAATAGATAGATCTGTGTGTGTTAGTACCTGAATTATAATTTAAAAAGTATGTTATTATAACGAAAATTAAAAAACATAATTCTTTAAATACAAGATTTGTATTTATATGTGTATGCAATTAAAGTAAGATACAAGCAACATAAATTATGACGCAAGGATACTTTTGTTTTAAGCTTTCGTCCTCAAAGGACATCCTCAGAAATTTAATCTGAAACACAAAAAGAAACCACAATCCTTTAAAAGGCATGATGAGAACTATTAAAGCACTGGCTGGTGCTATTATGTGAGAACAATTCACAAATATGTATACATTTATATATATATATATATATATATACATGATTTAATGTCGGAAACATTTTAACAAAGCCATTCAGCACTAGTGATGAGTATAATGTGTAAACGGAAAAAAAGAAATCGAATTTGTCTTATTAGACTTTTTCTCAATTATTACGTCGATCTAGAACTGCTTTTAATCAGGAATGCTAATAAAATTACTTATAGAATTTACTGTTTATTGAACAAATTAACTAAGCGTAAGATACTAATTTCAAAAGATACATTATTCACAGCTGTAACGAAAATCACGCAATTACAATTATTATCAGTGTTCATCATTTACTATTAATAATCAAGTTCTAATCGAAATTGAACTAAAAATGAACATTTTCTAAAATACCTTAAAGTCGATCTTCAAATGCTATAATGAAAGTAAGTTTGAATATTTTATACTACTCAGTGTTATTCAGCATAATGAATACAAAATAAATTATCCACATATATTTTACAAACCAACATTAGCCCTTAAAGGTAATACAAAGTTTTGGTATGGGGTCATGAATTTGGTTCAAATGAAAATTTTGAAGCATATGCGATCGTACAATATTCAGTGATCGTTGTCGCGGTTGAATTTCGAGTCTAAAGTTATGAAATTGTAAAAAAAAAAACTCTTTATGTTGTATAGCTCCCTCTAAAGGTCAATATATTAATTAAGCTATAAAACAATGTTTCTTGACTAAAATCGATCGACTAACTATTGCCGTTTAGAAGTTATATATCACAACTACATATTCTGAGATTTTCATGGTCGCAGCTACCATTGTACAGCCGTAGGCGCTATTTCAAATTCATCAAAATTTACCGGGAGCACCGGTTAATTTTTATATTCAATTTTTCTCGAAAGCAGAAGCGTTTTAGGGGCTAATTTTTGTAGTGGTTATAATACATTTACAGGGGCATCCAAATATATCAAAATTGTAAAGAATCACTACCCGCCCAATTTTCAAAATTTCCCAAGACTTTGTATTACCTTTAACATTCCATAGTATGTGCCAATATTAAACTATACGGTATGTGCATTTTGATGAAGCGTGTGCTATGATTTAATTTATAATTATAAATAAACTTTAAATCCCCACTGCACTATATAGCTACTTGCACCCTCTATATAGCAAACAATGCCTAATCGGTGCCTGTTGGTCCCCCATGATCCCCTTTTTCTTATGTTAATTGAGAGCTGATTTGATGAGATAACCTCCTGTCAGTGACCTTGCAGGGAGGTCTTATTCCCCTGGCAAAACTAGGGCAGACGGGCTTTAAAAGAAGCGTTCTACTTCTGTTCGTCCACCTGAATTTGCAGAAAGAGTGACAATCTTTTATTTTCCCAATATAATTCAATAATATGTACAAAACCAAGTGCAAAATAAATTATCAAAACATTCCCGACAGGCATACTGAATAGTATGTGTATCCGAAAATGGTTTATGATTCAATTTTTAATCGAAACTAAACATTAAAGATAAAGACCAGTTATAGTCATGCGACTGCATTGTGAAAGAAACGTTGTGAAATCGATCAAAAAAGGTTGATCATCTAGCATAGATGTACTGCAAGGTTCTGGAATCATCAAAATGATACGAAATTTGGCCCAGTCTTCATAAGGTTACAATCACTGTACACAGAAAGATGTATATGGGACTACGCACACGTACGCGACACGTGCGTTGTTATCTCTCACACACCAATAGATAAACTAATTTACCAAATATATCAATTAGTAGGCGGTTTCCAGGCAAATTTTGTATCATCATGTATTATTCAAAACATATTCTTTCACATGATTGGTAGTAAGAGCTTCCATTTCATTTTTTGAAATTGGGGCGTTTCCAATACTGGTCTTTACCTTTAAAAGAAATTATATATTTGATGATTTTCTCTAAAGGGAACTGTAACGGAGTAAGCAGTTTACTTAGCCACGCTATGCGGAACTTTGCTAGCATTTCGTATTGTAATCGAATTGTAACAATGGCCTTATAAAAAACAAACCAAATTCCAGAAAATCCTATAATAGGGGTCTCATCTATAACCACTGACGAAATAATTGACTTTCATATTCATGAGTCTAACTATGATTCACTTTGTTAAGCACTAAGAACAAAGCAAATTAATCATTACAGGTAGTAAAACGGTTTCGAATTAATCCCACGCCATTGTCTACTCACACAAAGACTCGGTCTTAATTACTCTTTAAATTGATTAACCAATATAATTCATCATTTTTCCACCGGATTGAAATATTCAACAGAGTCCCGGAATTCGGTAATCTATTCCCATTATGTACCTGAATCAAACGTATTAAATAAATAGCATTAATACCAATGTCACGCCCACAATGACAAATTGATCAGCAATTATAATGATTCTACTGTATAGGCTGAATAAGGACAGACTGTAATCTAACAGCATTTCAAATTAGTTATCGCATCATAAATGGGCGTGTCTTAGTGAGATACAATCGAGATAAAAATTAATCATATATTTTGCAGACTATTCCGCCCAAGGATAAAGGTATGCGGAACTGCACACATGCCCTGCACATTTAAATATCGTTAGAAGGTGGTTCAAAAGGCAATTCCTTAAAGGTATTATTCAAATAACGATAAGCGTGGGAATGGAACCCGCATAAATCATTTTAAAACAATTGTTTTATTTTCACTTTTATTAGAAACCAAAATGCAAGGTTAGTATCGACGTATGATGATTGAGTTACATATTTTGCAGGTAGTCTCATTTTATGAATAAATTAATAAATATATTCAGGCACAGACGAATCGAATATGCGGTCTACTAAGCCGAAGCATTGCCATGATATTCCTATCCAACGATCCGTTCTACGAACAGGGCAAGTTGAACAATAAATATGAATTCTCACCCTTTCTGCAACAATGGAAGAATCTACACAACAGAGTATTGATGTCAGCATTTCTGAATAAATTAGGTCAAGTCTTTGTGACGTAACATTTTGACCGATGTATTGCACTTACAATTCTACCAGGCAAGTTGATGAACAATAGCACACTCTAAGCAGGAGTTCAATTATGTAATTGAAATAATGCGTAAAAGAATGTTTAATTTCGTAACAACCATTCAGGCAAACACATCATATCCTGCAGCTTTAAAGATAAAGTTGAGTTCTGGTCATGCGATTACATTGTGAAAGAAACGGTGTGGAATCGCTCAGAAAGAGTTGGTCATGTAGCATTTAAGTATTGGTGTGTACTGCAAGGTTCTGGAAACATCACAATGATACAAAATTTGACCCAGTCTTGGTGAAGTTACAAGCACTGTACACAGAAAGATATATATTGGACAACACAAACATGTGGCATAAAAATCCATCCCGATTTTTACGCTGTTACATGTAATATTTAGAATATGAAGTCATTTCAGGAAACATGTTTTATCTGAAGTTCTTCCACGCTTGCATCATAACAATGATAACGCTCACCAATTATTTCTTTACCTCTTCTCAGAACTCAACCTTCTCTTTAAGCCTCTTTCAGCTATGACTATCATTATCTCTATCATTATCCCCAACTAATAAAAGTTTTCTGTATCAGTGAAAACATTATTTGGGTATTTCCCCTCTCCGTTTACATGACTCCTTCCACCAAACTCTCCAGTCTTTCTGTTTAGATGGCACATACGTCCCGTCCTGCAACGCCCTCTCATCGGCCTCCAACCGATCCCCGAGCTGACACATAATGTTCGGTTCCGTCCCGTACGGTTTCAAAGACCCTAATTTCTTCCATTGGAAATACGTGTTATACAAGGCATCATCATTGTCCACCCTCTGCAGATAGTCGGCCAGCTCCTGCGTCGTTCGGAAGTCCTGGATGTGTATGAACGAATTAGGAGGCGCCACTTTCTCGTAGTCGCTCCTTGGTGGTCCAAAGACGATCGGGACCAATTCCCGCAGGAAAGACTGGATCCAGAACTTTTCAGTGATGTAGTCGGTGCATTCACTGTTTTCGAGGGCGAGATAGAATTTGTATTGCCTCAGGGTTCGGTCACACCCCTTGGTTCCCGCCTTGCAGGTAAGGTTACCGCAGCGGCCGTACATGTCAACGGGTACGTGCCTGGAGGGGAACAATCATAAGAAATAATAACCGTTTACAAATTATAATCAATAAGTGATACAGGGCTTCTCTAAAAGTGTATGTTGGTCCCCCTTAAAGAGAAGGGTAAGTTCTGAGAAGGGGTAAACAAATAATTTGTGAGCGTTATCATTGTATTATGCAAGTGTGAAAGAACATCAGATAAAAAAAATTCCCTGAAAAGCATGGCTCTTCAAATGTCTTCATATTCTTAAATATGGCATGTAACATCATAAAATTGAACGGATTTTTATGCCATATGTTCGTGTAGCCCATATATATCTCTGTGATTGTGATCATTGTGACAGTGGTTGTAATTTTAATGAAATTGGGCTGAATTTGTCATCATGTTGATGATTCCAGAACATTGCAGTGAACACACATAACTATATGCTAGGTGATCAACCTTTCCTGATCGATTTCACAACGTTTCTTTCACAATGCAATCACATGACCAGAACTCAACTTCATCTTTAAAAGCAGAGGATGGAGAGGAGAAAGGAAATCAAATGCGAATGTTTAAGGCTACTGGGTGGGAGAGGTTGTGGGAGGTGATCCATGCGTCTCCCTTTAATGTCCTTTATCCCCTCTCCCATCCACTATCTCTTGCCTTATCCTTCTTATTATCATTCATTTCATAGTGTCGATGGAATGGGTTGTATCCCCATGTTTCCCTGTAGCTAAGGCACTAATTGAGCTTCCTAAATAAATCTTACCTTGCAAGTCTCTCAACAAAGTCTTCCCTTGGCCAAGATGTCCTTTGGCAGTTCGACGCCATCCACGCCACCAACTTGGTCCGATTCTGCGCCCAGTTTCTATTGTCCTCTGGATCTATCTCAGGTTTCCCTGGTCTGTATTGCCCATAGTCCGCGCGGAAGTCGGAGTCGTATCGGTACGTCATAATGTAGTCATAAGAGGTATTGTAGTACCGTTTCGGTGGTATGACAATGGGCCGAGTGTGCCGAGGACTCTCTAGCGTATAGAACACCCACTTCTGTGCTGGTGGTCGATGATTGTGCATCTTATCCCAATCCCAGTGAGACCAATGAAAGAGGACCAGTGCCTCGTTGTTCTGCATCGTCTCGAAATCCATATCAACGGTTAGCTCCACGTCGCAGACACTTCTAGGGCATTGTATCAGGTGTTGACCTCCACTGAATCCCAACTCACCGGCTCTGCTGGCCCATAGGTGAACTTTCCGATGGCAGCGGTGGGATAGGGTCTTGGTAATCCTCTGGGCGTCCCGAGTCTTCTGAAGATCAATCTCTTTCTTCAGCAGAACGGACTTTGCATCGAGTTCTCGAAGCTTCTTGTCCAGAACATGTGGCTTAGTCTTAAATAATATAACGTTCTTACTATTGTTTAGTATAAAGTTACTCCTTGACTCGCCGACATTTACCATGGAATTACCATTTGGTTTAGGTTGTATTACCATAGAGTTACCCCTTGAACTGGGACGTTTTACCATGAAGTTACCATCTGGTTTACGTTGTATTAACATGATTCTATTCCTTGAATGGAGATGTTTCACTATGGCGTTGATGCTTGGAGTCACAGCTCGGTTCAAACTCTCTGCTTCCTTTTCTTCTTTGTCACCAGAGATGTTCGAGGGGCTGGGTTGCCTTAACCCATCTGGCCCAGGTAACCTGACAGACCTGAGGATGTCTTCGTCCGGGTTGAAGTCGGTCTGTTGCATAAGGAGTAACAGTTGCAGGTAACAAGCAGCACTAAGCATGAGAACCAAAACCAAGTACTGTCTTCGCAATGCCATATTCATGAAGGTCCTAGAATAAAAAAAAATGAAAGCAAAACTGAATACATTCATATTAAATACATTTATAAGCAGAAGAATCGCCTTTTTAACCTGTCTTTGCCTTCAAACAGTATACAAGCGTCCCAGAAAAAAATGAAACCAATATATATCGATGTTTTATCAAAACTTAATCACAATTATTATTAATAGATGACACATATTTCTAAAGCTTAGATCCTCCTCTTTAAAGCTGATATTCTAAGCAAATAAATGTCCCTTAATTTGGTTCCTACGGCAAGCATATGTTATTGATAAGTTTTTAAATTACATAGTATATCACAAAACAATTCTGGCTACTCGAAATCCTTAATTGAAATGTCGAAAATATCCGCCTCTCTTTGCATAGAAAATCAGTCACGGCGCTGGTCTACTATATATGACATCACGTCCGGGAGGCGCGTTTCCGTTTTACACCCTGCCCTAGGCTTTTCTCCAATAAAATTTTACAAACCGACTGGTATTCGGAGTCTAGTCGTCCACATCTTGCCTCGGCGCTCTGCCTGCACACCACCAGAACTCTGAAAACGTCACGTAGCGCTAGCTAACTCTCTATACTAACTAGTTGATCTTCCTAGTCGTATCATTTATTTTTATCCATTAATACGCAATACTCTAAGAGCGTGAGGATGCGTGATCAGCTCGCAAAATTTAGCCCAGCGATAACAAAACAATAATATATCGGGAAAACCGTCTTGAACAAGAAGACCCTCGCATCCCCAATTGAAATTGTACATAAGCTTTGGCTTCGCTATTCTTGACGTCGATATAAACAAACTTAGACTTCGGATACAGCATGTTTCGTGTAATTTCTTGCCGAAAAGCCTAGGGCAGGGTGTAAAACGGAAACGCGCGTCCGGGAGAGGGTATATTCACGTACCCGGATGTTCCATAGAAAGCATGTACAGAGAGATACGATTTTCTGCTTATTTTTGTTTCAAAGGCTGAAAAGTCTAATAAATCATAATGCTATGTACAATTCTTTACCTTCCCATAATATTTCATAGTATTAATATCAACATCCCTTTTAAAAATTATGAGATATACATGCCAACGATGTGCTATTAGTCGATATTTTCACCATGTAAATTTTGTTTTGGTGTTGAAATCGGCCCAGGCACGGAGTGAACACTGTAGCTGTCTGGTAAGTGGACCCATACACAGTTCATTACCATACAGCGATCTCCCGATGGTTTCTTCTTCCTTTTCCCCATGTCTTTCGCCTTCCTTGGCCCTGAAGATCCTTTATCTTCTTCCATGCTGTGCATATTGTGTGATCTACCAATTCTGACACCGGTAGTCGGGAGCAAGTCTTTGTTAGTTGTTTTTCTTAGCTGGTAACGTCGCTTTCATTCTCTTGCAATTGCCGATCAACTAGCGCACGTACGTTCCATCACAAGCAAGCCGCGCCTAGAGCAGCGGCCTGGTCTTACCTCCTTCTGCTCGTTTCACAAACGTTCGTGCAAGAGCCGCATCACTCGCGGATGAATATCGTTCGATCACTATACGTTGTCAAAAAATTATAGAGGAAGCGAGCTTGCATGATCTCATTTATGTTTGATATTTTACAACATAAAATGTTTAACTGGTACTGTATTCTTTTTTGAAGCAGTCACACATATCTATGATAAGTACTATCATAGTTCTAGGCCTATACGTTTTACAAAACTTCTCCTGTACCCCATCTGATGACAAGATAATGCATCCGCCTATTCATACGTGCATGATTTAACCTGGTTTCCCAAGCAGTAAACTCGTCTTAATTCTCTACCAAATAGGTGAATATGAGGATATAAAAAGAAATCAGCGACTGGAAAATGTTGCTTAGATATTCTTCATTCAAATGAAAACAGAAAATCCATCAAATATACTCATTAACAACAACAAATCTAAGCTCTGACAGGATATCATTTACGTAGGGATATCACTGCCATTCACTCTCACTGAGCCCATGAGTCCCGTTCGTGACGTCACGGATAGAGGCCCGACTCTACATGCACTTCCGGATTTCAGACTTAGATAGTTTGGTAGAGTTTACTCGCATAAATTCACCATTCTAAACTTGTTTTGTCAGTTGGACACCATTTAGTGTTATTCCGGGGGTTAAAAGCTTTCTGTTGATGTAATTATCTCAATATTTAGGATTGTCTTAGAATATCAACTATAATTGAATGCAACTCATATGATGCATATTTCACCCATGAGTGATTAAACACAATATGAAGAAAGGGTACTAAAAAGTCATTCGGCGACCGGTATCTGAATTTCTGAAGACAAATCACTTTTCTAGAAAGTTCATGTGTTGCCCTTTCATATGACACTTCAATCAGGAAAAAAGAGCCAGAAATAACAAAGTTCTGTTTGTTTAAAGTAGTGCTTGCATTTCCGCATTTATTAAACGAATACGTTCCACTGGCTGCCTGCCCTAACAACATAGAAGACGAATGACTTCATGCATAGCTGATCGTCAACGAAACCACAGACAGCTAGGGATAATGAATTCGTTTAATGAAATTATGGAAATGGGATGTTTTGTTTTTCGAATGAGGTTTTCTGCATTGTAAACGGGCTTAATTATCACTTCGGAAATAGTGATATTAATGATGCAAACAGACATCTCATATCATCCGAGGACATTTTTTATTAGTATCACTATCGGAGCGGAAATGTGTATGCTTATGTTAATCTAACATTTATCAAAGGATATCGAATATATTATGCTTCATTAGATTTCTTGTACTACAACCAAATCGTTTACTTCCCTGTTCGTCTATTCCCATATGGTATACACCTAGCCCATCTGCGTTCCATTTGGTATAATAATCATTCCATCTACTAATCATTTGGTATATCACCATTTAGGCCGATAGTCCTTTGGTCTAATTTCCATTTGATCTTATCTCCAATCAGTGTACTACCCATTTGATCTATTGCTCATTAGTCTACTTTCCAGTCGGTCTACTTACCTGTTTGTCTAACGCCCATTTTGTTTAATATTGAAATGGTCTAATAATAATTTAATATTATGGAAATGCGATGTGTTTTTTCTGAAATATATATGCTTCATTATATTTGTTGTCTACAACCAGCTCGTTTACTACCCAATTCGTCTATTCCCATATAGTATACACTTGGACTAATGATTATTCCATCTACTTATCATTTGGTATATTGACCATTTAGGCCGATAGTCCTTTGGTCCAATTTCCATTTGGTCTTATCTCCTATAAGTGTACTACCCATTTGGTCTATTGCTCATTAGTCTACTTTCCAATCGGTCTACTTACCTGTTTATCTAACGCCCATTTTGTCTAATATTGCAATGGTCTAATAATCATTTAATCATCTAAATAAATAATCATTAAAGGACTAACTGGGTTGTAAACGAACCGGTCGTTTCAAAGGCAATTCACCTATAATGTCTGCATGGACAGGAGTGGAATATCAAAGCTGAAATAGTGGAAAGAACCTCCCAGGAAAAACCAAACTACTGTCTTTAAACAAAAATAGGAGTGATTCCTGACTCGACACCCATGGACAGTGAAAACGAAGTGAAAATGGAGTGAAAATGGAGTAAAATGGAATGAAACTAGAGTGAGAATGGAGTGAAATTGGAGTGAACGAGGAGTGAAAAGGAAATAAAAATGAAGTAAACAACTGAGAAAAAATGGAGTAAAACAACTCAATTGATAACTGACGTGACTCCCGGGGGAGGGGGGGGGGGGGGGTGAAAAAAGATCGAAGATTCACTCTTTCCGTTTCAGAGAGTACTTTGGAGAGGATTCGTCTTTAAAAGTAAGGAGGTGATTCCTGACGGTTTTTAAAATTAAATGTTTAGTTTTTATGTATCAAAATCAAAGAACTATCACAATGACCAAGACTTTAAACAATATAACTAAGGCAAGTAACAACGGAAAAAATAAATATATAAGCAAACCCAATGAAAATGCCCTAATTTATATATAAACCTATAAACCGGGACCTACATCATACAAGCTTTGCTTTTTAGTAGATCCCCGACTTTATTGATTGATGTATATGATTGTATTCTCTGTTATAACTATTATCATGTACATTATGTTTTCTATATTGTATGTTTAGTTATACTAACTACCATTGTTCATTATGTTTAATTATGGTATCTTTGATAACGTGAAATAAATAAACTTGAAAAACTTGAAAAAATGTTTTCCTTTATTTTCATATACATCATAAGAACATCATTTAAAGTCTATCCTCCACTTTGTAAAGTGGAGATCAATTATTATTTTGTGTTGCTATTCTACACTTTAAATCTTTAGTAGACGTAATGAGTGTCTTAAAACTATGCATATTAGGGGAGATCCCTCTCACTATGAATATGACTGACAAAGAAAGCAGGCAAACTATACAGTTCCTCAGGTAGACAAAGGAACATCCCTCACTGCTATTATGTAAAAATGTGTCACATGCAAGCCATATTCACCTGTTCTACACATTTTTACATAATAGCAGTGAAGGGATGTTCCTAATTTGTCTACCTGAGGAACTGTATATTTGTCCGCTTTCTTTGTCAGTCATATTCATAGTGTCTGGATCCACCATCATAAACATATTACTACAACAGCAAAAGACATACGTTACTAATTGTATTTCGATGTCATGGGCCCTTTAAGGCTTTCTCAAGTCGACCTTGAATTTGAAGCCCTGACCCTCCAACTCGTGAATTCATGACCCTCACGACTCGTTATTCGACACGTGTTTATTGTGATAAGCATCTCCATAAAAAAACACGATATAGCATTTCTTGTAATAACAAAAAAACACGAAGTTTGACGAACGTTCCTTATTGTTACCATTGTCTGTGAATGAGAAAGATTTGTTGGAAGGAAAAGTAGAAGGTTCTACACCGAGAGGGAAACCGAGATTTCATATTGGGAGGGGAACGGTAAGATATAGAGTGGAACGACACTGCAAGAGTGTACTAGAATGGACGAGAACGGAGATATGAGGAAGAATATAAGTTACAATCAACCTCTGAACCTGGAGAAAATACCTTGATAGATAGATACACAAATACACTGCCAGCCAAAGGGAAACACGAATTAGGTCATAGGTTTTTTTTAATTGTTATAATTACCCTATTCGCGACATTTTCATCTAGTCAAAGACGAGAAAAGAAAGGTGTAGAATCGTGATATGATTTTACTATCCCCTTCACACGTTCGTGTCAAATTTACAGACTGCCGAGAAAGTCGGTTAAAAGTGATTAGGCAATGAACCTAGATAATTTTTATTTGTATCAGCCCTTAAAATGAGATTTAACTCTGACTTAAAGTTATTAGATGTCCTAAAGTTGAGGAAAATGAGAGAAAGAGGGAAATAGGATAGAAGGGGAGGGATAAAGAAGAAGAAAGATAGAAGGGAAAAGAGAATAGGTTAGAAAGAGAGAGAGAGAGAGGGAGAGAGAAGGGTAGCGGGGAAAAAGAGTCAAATGTTTAGTATGTCCTTTTTTTCCCAAACCTAACTCACTTTCTTAAATTGACAGCTTTATGTTTATTCCAGCATGAGAAAACACTAATGTTAAAGAGATTAATAACGGATTTTGGGCGATCATTGGCCATCAAAAGATCCTAGTTAAGCAAATACGAGAGACATATGCGAGCGAGAGGTGAGATGAGGGATGGGAGAGGGGAGAGAAAGAGAGAGAAAGAGAGAGAAAGAGGGAGAGAGAGAGAGAGAGAGAGAGAGAGAGGGGCAGAGAGAGGACACACAGAAGAAAAGAATAGGGAGAGAGATAGAGGGGGAAGAAAGAGAGAGAGAGGGGGGTGGGGAGAGAGAATGACATAGGGAGAGAGAGGGGAGAAAGAGGGGGAGAGAGAGGGAGAGAGAGAGAGAGAGAAAGGGGTGGGGAGTAAGGAAGGGAGAGAAAGAGAGAGAGAGAGAGGGGCAGAGAGAGGGAAATAAGTGAGTTTCTTTCCACGCTGAATACAAAATCCAATAGTTTTGATAAACCACTATGATATAAAATCATGTTGCAGCATCAGCAGTAGTAGTAGTAGTGGTAATAAAAGTAGTGATGGTACTCGACTGTTCGTAGTTGCAGTGGTAGTAGTAGTAGTAGTAGTAGTAGTAGTAGTAGTAGTGGTAGTAGTAATTTTGTTGTCACCCTTTAGCACACAATGAAAATTGAGGGGGGGGGGGTTAAAACCCGACCCCCCCCCCTGAGTAGTAGTAGTAGTAGTAGTAGTAGTAGTAGTAGTAGACGTAGTAAGAGTAGTAGTAGAAATAATAACTATAATAATAACAATGATGATAATAATAATGATTATATTGATAATGATAAAAAAATAATGATAAAAATAATACTAATAATAATCATCACCGTTATCCCCATCCTCATCATCATAATGATAATAATAACTTAATTCTTACAAAGCGCATTCCCATACAGTATTATTCTCCAGATTATCGACCTTGCACATTATCCACTCCCCGCATGCGATAGAATGAATGGATGTAATAACACATGACATCATCTCTGGGGGCCCTTTTCACAAAACCTGTTTTCTATAACAACTGCTAAAATTCTGTGACAAAGCTGTTCTCAGCGAATCAGATGCCTTGATTTCAGTAGCTTATAACAGTAGCTTGTAACTTGTTATTGATATCAAGTTTTATGAAACAGGCCCCTGGATTATATTACTGAAATGCAAATTAAAAATTATCATTCGAGACAAAAAAGGCTTGAGGTCAATGCAATTCTTGCCTAATGCGAAGCCAGACTCTACCTTATGAAATAGAAACGGTCTTTTTGAAAACATGATATGATAATTTAACCATTAACAAAACCATTAAAATTTACTTTTGACATGGACATCTAATTCAACACGAATTCTTAGCACAGTACGAATCTCTTGCTTAATGTGAAACCAGACTTTACCTCGTGAAAGTAGAAAATGCTCTTTGAAAACATGATATGATAACTTTAATCATTAACAAAACCATTGAAATTTACTTTTTACAAGGACCTCTAATTCAAAACGTATTATTAGCGCAATACGAATCTCTTGCCTAAAGTGGAAAATCGATTCTACTTAATGAAAGTAGGAAACGCCTTGTGAAAACGTGATATGATAATTTAAGTGGTTTCGAGCCACAAGAATAACATTATTTTCAAGGTATTTTAGTTTAGTAAAGCTAAACATAACATAAAATGCCGTATGCCTACAACAAGGAAGTATACATTTATGATCAATAGGACACCAGATATATCACAATTCCCCATTTTGTTTTAATTCTATTATTTTAGGTTGATGATTTTAAAGACCAAGATGATAGTGATAATAATATTAATAATTAAGAAAAAAATTATAATGATAATATCGTAGATGTGTTGATGATAAAAATACTGATAGTGATATCGATAATGATAACGATACACTGTACCACTACTACAACAGCTACTACTATCACTTCTACTACTACTATTACTTCTAGTAGTAGTCATAATAATGATAATAATAAAATTAAGGTTAAAACAAGTATATTAACGATAATGAATACAATAATATCATAGAACATCCTCCTCATCATCATTCTACTACCTTTACCTCTACTACTATTACTACTGCTGCTACTAATTATACTACTACCACTACTACTATAGTACGAAAAGTAATACTAAGAGTAACTTCAAGTAGATACGTTCATCATCTTTTGAAAAAACACTAAACTACAATTTGAAAATAATGTGCTTGTGGTTTGAAACCACTTAATGTTATCACATTTTCTGGTTGCACCAATCGTAGTCAAAAGCCTTGACGTCCAATTTGTAATAACTGAAATAAATACATTTGTGTAGAATATGAGAAATCGTGGATCGGAAATGTAACCAGACGAGAACTTAGACAAAACGACTATAAGCTTAAATGATCATTAGACCAAGTGATAAGTATATGAAATGATTATTGGACCAATTGGACAGTAGACTGGCTGGGTGTAGACCATATGGAAATAAATCAATCGGGTAGCAGACGAACTAGTTAAAGACCAAACGGCTATAAACCTAAGTTTTTTAAAGTCTTTTTAGTGTGATTCATGTATGTGTTCTAAAAGAACGGTTCTTGTTTAAAACAACTTTATAGTGATGTTAATAATGTGATTTATAAGATTTATATTAATAATATGAAGTGCTCACCTTTGATAAGTCGAGAATAACTGCTACTCCTGATTATAAATCCAATTGGTTGGTTGCTCCCATTGAGTCTCTCACACACAGGCCACAGTTTGCATCCATTTGCGGAGCACTCCAAAGTCTCAAGTGATACATAACATCTTTGTTACATTGTAGCGCGCGGTAAATACACGGACGCCCTCTTGCAATATACTCGATCAAAGTAATGATTTCAATTTTGATATCGATACAAATCTATGCTACGTTATATATGAGACTCTCACACACGGGCCATAGTTTTCATCCATTTGTGGAGCACTCCAAAGTCTCAAGTGAAACATCTCATCTTTGTTACATTGTAGCGCGCGGTAAATACACGGACGCCCTCTTGCAATATACTCGATCAAAGTAATGATTTCAATTTTGATATCGATACAAATCTATGCTACGTTATATATGAGACTCTCACACACGGGCCATAGTTTTCATCCATTTGTGGAGCACTCCAAAGTCTCAAGTGAAACGTAACATCTTTGTTACATCGGCCACAATGGTCCCGAGATTTTAAATGATTGCAGTGCGCGGTAAATACACGGACGCCCTCTTGCATTCGATTAAAGTAATGATTTCAGTTTTTATATCAATACAAAATTAATCTATGCTACATAATATAGTGTCTTTGACCGGTTTGCAACAATACCAATAAAGTATCGAATGGTTGCATGTTGTTTTTCCGAATCTTCATAATGTCGAAGAATCGTTATTCCGTCTATTTTTCCCGAAAAATTAAATGGGGTTCATAATTCGGAATACGAAATAGGGTCAATTACTCAAACAAAATTAAAAAAGGATTCATGATTCCAAAAAGAACATACAGAGCCTTATCTCACCATTCGGAATAAGGAATCTCCTTTTTCACATTCGGATTTTTGAGCCCTATTACAATTTCGGAATCACGAACCTTAAAAATAATGCAAATACCTATTTCACTTCCTGAACTCCGTGTACAAATTAATGTTCAGATAAATGAACATTCGGGCAAGCACAAGAAATGCTCGGAGTTATGAACATCATGTTCCTAATCACATTCATGAACTCCCTTTCATGCGGAAATATGTGTTTAGAAATTATGAAACTTTGGAAAAACGAACCTTCGGAAAAATCGAGCGCCTTCCATTACGCCGTCGAAATTAGGCTTAATGTTCAACTCGTTCTCAATCAGCATAAATATTTCAATTCTGATTTCAATTCTGATTATTTACTTGAATTTAGATAAGAAGATGACTTGAGGAAGCAATGTGCGAGATGCTTAAACTATTTTGAGAAAGAATAGTTTCTAAAGCCCTATGAAATTTGCAAGAAATTTCTTTTTCTCTTCATTTTTTAGACAGTTGCTAAAGTTTCCAGAAACGATTAAATGGATTCAGCTTTCTGTCATAAGCCTTCTGGGGAAAGTAACAGAGACACAATCATATACAGCAATAAGTGAGTAAATGAATGAATGGATGAATGAGTAAACAAATTAATAAATGAATGATTAAGATCCAGATAGAGAACATTGTTATTCTTACCCTCAAAACCATCGTCAACTTTCCGTTTATAATTATAAACTTACGCAACAGTAGATGGCGCTATGTAAGAATACATTTCTTCTAGGATTAATTGAATGTCGTTTTTACCTTCCAGTTACAATTTATACACACACACACACACATACCAAAATACACGCACACGCACCTCACGCAGTTACACACACGCACACAGAAACGCAGCACCCATGCACGCCACTTTGATGCTCATGGTTTTCTGCTGTTTTTAAGTCAATGAAAACGATGTGATACATTCCATCTTTTATTTAGAGCCTACTAATTCGATTACGGTGTCTTTCATTATCATTCTTATTATTTTTGCCATTTGGTCCTTAAAGGTAACGCAAATTTTTGGGAAATTCATAAAATTAGATGGATAGTAATTTATTAAAACTTTGATATATTTTGATGCCCCAGTAGATTCATTATAAGCACTAAAAATAGCCCCTAAAACACTTTTGCTTTCGAGAAATGTAATAATTAAAATTTACCGGTATGTACAATCTCTATGAGAGGGAACTATTTTGAAGCTTCATGAAACTTCTGACCAATCAGAAGCAACTTTTGGTGACGTAACTATCCCAATCAAGCAGCTGTCACTGAACCCTCCACTATGTAGTGTAGAGTACAGTGATAGCTATGGGCCTACTTATCTGGCGACATCATGTGTTGGCACTGTAGGAATAGGATATGACCTCTCTATGAACTCTTCACTACGATCACGTGACATTGACATACATCAATAGTTCAACATGTTATTAGAAAACCACTACATTTGCAGTAGATATGGCGATTGTAGCCTTAACCTCTCTCTCTCTCTCTCTATATATATATATATATGTGTATATCTCTCTCACTATGTTGTTATTTCATTATGGTCTCGATTTTCATTTTTGTAATCAAAGTTATCATCAATAACGCAATCATCATCAGCGTCGTCATTATAACCACCATTGTTTCCATCATGCGCAACCAACACCATCATTATCGATCATCATCATTATCACTGTCATCACCATCAACATAGCTACATGAATATAATAAGCAATATCATTTATCATCAATATCATCATTATCATCATCGTCTATCGTCGTCATCATCGTCATCAGTATCTTCATCTTCTCATCATCATTATCGGGTCTTTTCAATAAAAAATGACATAAAAACAAATTGATTGAAACGGATCTGTCAGAGAAAGTCATTTTATTAATCTGCCACCTCATTTCGCGACCATGACAGTTTTCATCTTAATGCCTTGATGCAAATGTTATTTGTAGCACACACATCAATAAAACCAAGAAATGACAGAAAGATTGCCTTTTATATGCAAATGTAACAAAGGATTTAACGAAATATATTGATGTACATATGTACCAGCTAACTCATAGGCCATCATTAAACTGAAACAATAGCTGGCTTACCAAAGATCTGCCTGACCTAGTAAGAAATAGTACTTTAATCAAGAACTTCTTTTAACCATATAACAGGTCGAATATATAATGCAAGTCATTTAAAAATAAAACAATATTTAAGCCTTGAATAATTGAAAAAACAGGTAAAATTACTGTTGGTATGATAACTGATAATTTCTTAGATAGTTAAAAGCCCCACTGTACTACTTGAGGCTACTTGCTCCCTCTATATAGAAAGCAATGCCTAATCGGTGACCATTGTCCCCCATGATCATCATTTTCTTATGTTAATTGAGAGCTGTGTTGATGTGACAGCCACCCGTCAGTGACCACTGACCACGCTGTGTGGTCTATTCCCTCCTGGCCAAACTAGTACAGACGGCCTTTAATATGTCGCTCATCAAATAGGAGCATGGATGACTGACCACCCCCCCCCCCCCTCCCTGGAAGTTCTTTCTACTTTCTAGCTCCACAATAGCTATACATGACTATTGTAATGTCAATGTCAATAACACAACACTTATGCCTAAATTCTCCATCTCCAAGTCTTTACACATGAACTCTCTTTCAATAGGGACTTTTAGATTTGCGCGGACTGATACGTGTGACGCCCTTTCAAGGCAGTGCATTAAAAGGACGTTGACCGTAGCAATCCCTATTGTCTTTGTGTGAATCTAAAAGTCCCCATTAACTCCTTTTGTAGACGTTGTCCTACTTTTGTAAAAAGTAAATTATTGTAATTATTCCACTAAGAGTTTAACAACATAGAACAACGAGATTCCACTGCAGTTTAACAACACTAAACAAAAAACGTGATTTCACTTTGAGATTAACATTAAGGAACCACAAAGTACATGTACACTCCTTTTCATACACGCATCTGCTTTATAAATAGCAAATTTTAGCAATTCCACTTAAGATTTCACCTAAAACATGTTGTAATTTAAGCACTTTTATTTTCACTTGAGAAGGTAGAGTAATATTGCTCTTGAATTTGAAGAGGCACCATTGCTTTTAAAGTAGACATTCATTGATTTTAAAAACTAGCTTTATTTTTATTATTGCAAATTTGAAACTTTGATTCGACAAGGTTATCAAAATTCAATGCTTGGAAACATTCGAAGTAACGATTATTATAAATAACAAAACGCTTAAATACAGCCCCGGCATAGCACCTGAAGCTCTCTCTGAACGCTGCTGAGATGTGTGAGATCACAGTATGGACATGACTTGCACAAGCAGACGATGTCCCATGACATCTTACACATTTTCAGTGCCTGTGTTTTCATCTTCTCTTGAGTTTTTTCTCTTCTTTACTACCGTTAGGCTAAATGTATAATCTATTGTCTCACTCTAAACCCCGTGCATGGTTTTATTTTGATGACAAATGCAGCGATACAAAATAAAGGAATCTGTCGCTTGTAAACAAAATAAGACGCCATTGTATATTCAGCTGCACACACCAAGGTATGTTCGGCGTTTCAAGAGGGAACAAATCCCGTCCTTAATATCATTCTGGGGTTTTTTTCAATTTGAAAGTCTGGTTTCTTTAATTGTTAATTAACACCTATCCTGTTTATTTACAAGCAAAAGATTTCAGTTACCAGAATCGGGTCATATCCCCTTTTGAATGGTTTGTCATGCCATTACATTTATATACACTAAACTAATTTGAGAAATAATAGCTCTGCATTTATGTTCATTCTCTATGGGATGTCGTCTGCTTGGGCAGTGTTGGTCCATATAGTGACGTCATAAAAACATAGTTATTTTTCCGGCGAATCTCTTGTATATCCCAGCTGCTACGGAGGTGTTTGTATTTGTATTTTTATAAATCACCCGATATGTAGTTGACCTAAAACTTGTCCGATGGCCATCTGTTAGCTTACCAGTTTCTAGTGATACATTAGTTGACATATTTATAATCTTCTTTGAATTTCACTTTTAATACCTGAACTAAAGAACATAATTTGAAACGGGAATTATATTTCTCCTAAAAACAGAGAAGGTATTCAAAAGCACTTCTCACTCAATCAGTATAGCTACTCTCAAATCAAGTGACACTGCAATGTACATGTACCTGTACAGTTACTTTACATTATATTACAGATTACAACTCTAACCCTTTACCAACTGATTTAAAATTGTGCAACCTTTCTAAAAGTCCATTTGCAAGCAACAGCGTGATCATTCCGTGAAAATCCAAAGAAGTCTATTTCCATTTCCATTCAGAAGAAAGGGGGAGGGGGTCCAATCTGTATGCCTTTATTGTTTATTGTCTTAGACGCGTGCCTCCATCTGGGAGACTTTTGAAACAAGTTGTGTGCAGTTCGTCAGGAAGCTTATGAGTGAAATATAAAGGATTTCCAGAATGAAAAAAAAAGAAAAAAAAAATCAATTGTTGAAAATCATATCTTTCTGTTTCACATAGAGGTAATAGTATTAGGATTTGGATTGGGTATGCAAATGTTCAAAGACTACTGTAATTGGTCTTGAAAAGAATCTAAATTCCATTCAGATAATTATGTCAAACAAACTTTCATTCACAAATATCACTAACTAGTAAGCCTTTTGCATGTTTTCATGTCACAGACTGTAGGCCATTTACACTTCGCGAACACCGTTTTGAAAAATTGTTGACTTTTTTTGGACAGCCATTTTAAACACTGGCACAATATTTGTTATGGTAACACAAGTGCGATATGCTGCCCATTTCTGTATCTTATAAATAGCACAGAGCTCAGAGACTACTTGTAAGACCTATGTTGCGTGCATGCAATTTACACACTGTGAAATTTTTAAAAAATGCAGTTCACCAGTTATGGATCAAGCCGGTTATTGTTGTCAAAATACATAATGCTATTTCAGGCAACCTAACCCGGGCTCGGTTCAATGAAACTTCTTATTAATTACATATGTAAAAAAAAAAAAAAAATATGATGAGACAACTTTGCTCTTAGCCAATGATGCAAGGACATCAGTAGTTTATAACATGTATTGTAACTTGTTATTGATAACAAGTTTTATGAAACAGCGCCCAGGATGGAATGACCCAACTCTTCCCTCCTTACATCCATAGCTGTATGAACATGAGATGGTGTAGGGTAGCTACAGCAACCATGGTGGGTGTAAGACTGACAATGTAGAACAGAGAATTCAACCCTATTGGCCAAAGCAAATTACTTTGTATCGGCAAAGGCATTCTGAGATGTTGGAAATTCACCTCCTCAACGAGTTCGATTCCTAGCAGCTTGTACCTTGTTAATCTCATCACATCTGAATAAAGCCCCACCGTTGCTACCAGAACTCTATCGAGGCTGTCTACCGTAGCATACACTTGCTCATGATTATGGGTTGCTACAATGGAAGTGCCTACGCGACCTTCCCGGTCAAAGACAGTGACCGTGCTAGGCGTGATATCACCGGTACTGGTGATCATTATGCCGGTCTTGGTAACGCAGATGTGCTGCGGTCGGATATTCCCAGTGGGGACCACTTTCTGTGGGTTAGGGTTGCTACCGTGGAATATGCAGATCTCTGGGTTAAAATTGACGGCGTAGATGTTGTCATGCTGATCGGTGCACACCCGGACGCATCCTCCAGATGGCTTGCAAGCGTACCTCATACCTCTACTGCTTCCGCTGACGGAGTTGTATACAAAGAATTCATATCCCAACCTTGATATGATTGTCCTGCCACCTGAAAGGAAGGCAACATCATAGACGTCACCCACCTCACTCCCAAGGTATGGAATATCATCTCCTGACAGAGTAAAGCGGTCACAACCTCTCTTGTTGTTGCCGTATCCTACAACCACTGCATCATTCGACAGAGCTGCGAGCCCGAACAAGCGTCCTTCATCCAAAGGGAAAGCTTTTTTTCTTACAATACTCATTGAACTATTCAATATTGTTTCTGGCATGCCAGTATCATTCCTGCAAACTTGCTGCTTTCTTCCTCTCTTGTTCCTTCTATGCTTTCTACGTGAAGTCTTTATATGTTGCATGGCATTCCCGGTTTCCAGACTGCTATTAGTCTCTATGTCGTTGTCGCCAACATCTATACAACCTAGGGCAAGGAGCTCATCCCCAGCCGGGGCAAACTTTACACTCCTTCTTAACTCTTCCACACGTGGTGTAGACTCTTCGTCAGTGGCCTCCTTTAGTGAATCCTCTAGATCGGCGCATGTCAAATGGTCAGCTTTGATCATATCAGAATCTGAAGGTTTACTTGCATGATTGGTTAAGAGTTGGGCAGAATTACTGATCCTACCAATAACGTTTGTGCATCGACAAATACAGCTCTCCAACTGGTTGGCCAGGTCATTCCTGATGTTTCCTATCTTCTCGAGTAATTCTTTCTCATGTTGCAGGAGAGTTGCCACCTTGTTGGCAAAGGCCGCTCCGACTTTCCTCTCCAAGCCACTCAGGTGGGAATTCATGACATCTCTTTCTAGGGCAGCCTTGCTCAAACACTGTTCAATGTTGGCGTTTCTCGTCGTACTCTTCTCAAGAAGAGCATCTCTCTTGGTTTTCAACTCCTTTTCTAACTCCTCCTGCTTCTTAAACTTGTGACCTTGGTGTCTGTTGATATAGCATCTAATACAGATGAACTCACCACAGGGCTGGCAGTAAATGTTTCTATAGACACGAATATGCAATGGACACAATTTTGATGATAGTTCGTCTTCCTGACTTTGTGCAATGACGTCCGCTGTGAGGATATCTTCTAGACCTTTGGCTAAGAAGTTTGGTGTCAATCCTGCCACCCGTTCTTGATCCAGTTTGGTAAACTTCCTGCAGACTGGGCAGACAATGTGATTCAGGTCCTTATGCTGCTTGTCATTTGCTTCTAAACAACCCCTGCAGAAGGAATGGCCACAGCTAAGAATGGTAGCATTCCTTAAGACATCAAGACACATTGGACAGTTCAAACACTTGAGTATTTCTTCTTTCGACCTGGTAGCCATTGCGGTCTGCTTTCGCGATCACACTGCACAGGGGAAAAATCGAAAAATACCTTTGTCAGAACACTCTTTATATACATATAGTGGAAACTGTTTCATTTAAAACAAAGAGACCAGGGACCTATTTCAAACTTGATATAAAAAACAAGTTACAATAACTCTTAAAGCTGTTATACGTATTTAATTGTCAAGTTCTATGAAACAGGGCCCTGATATGACAAAGTATTTATTCTAGCCCCCACTCATTAAAGTATTTCGTTGTTGTTTTTCACCCTCATAATTATAACAAGGCATTTTCACAGTCTAAATGTCCTCGTAATTATGGTTTCCATAGGAGGTACTGCATGGGAGATTATTACCGATACGCATATAAGAAGAAAAATAGTAGACATGAATTCATAACTCATTCCTATATGGGGTGACCAAAGTTCGCAGAGATTTAATCACGTTTTAAAGAAAATATGATATTCGAACCATGAGGGCCGTGGTCGAGTGGTTTAAGGCGCTTGACTTGGAGATGCGAAGGTCGAGGGTTCGAATCCCGACACGGCACTAATATCCTTTGACAAGATAGTAACCTGCACTTGCTACTCTCCAGCCAGGTGTTAAATGGGTACCCGGTAGGATGCGACCTTCATTGTTGGTCAAACAGTTTTCGAGCGTCATTTAACGCCTGGCTGGAATGCTCCCCAGGGAGGGGAGATTGTGCACACATTGTGTGCGGGCAAGAACTTAACCCAATGACCGGGGTAATAGTTGATTTGTAAAGCGCTTAGAGACATAATATTAAGCGCTATATAAAAATTAAATATTTAATTATTTCTCATATTGTACACAACTTGATTTAGTTCAATTATAACCAAATATACGTCAAAGATTTTGACTACGATTGGTGCAACCAGAATATTTATCAGCAAAAGATTTCAGAAATATCGAGATCTCCAAATTCGATGTCAGAAAGACATGCGCTGCAACTACCAAAGAGTCATTACAACACGAGACCTAAACTCGGGCACAGGAGTTTACAGCTGATTTCTTAACAGCTAAAAAAGCAATTCATCAAATATAAGATAATTGCAGTTGGTATCGCCTCTTATTTTACAATTTGGTTGACATCTCCTCTCGATATGAAGATTCCTGCACCCTTTTGTCGGTAAGTTCAAAATTAATACCGAAACGGGCGCAAAAGATAGCAAAATCTGCTGATCTTTTCCCAATATTTTCATACTTTCAAACCCAATTACAAAGAAAGATTTATCTGGGTAGTTTAAGGTTTCTCTTTCCATTGGTGGTATCAGATATTTTATATCTTACCGATATCTATCCATAGGGAAATGTCAGCGAATACAAGTCAAGTGCGAACTATGGACACACGTACAGTCCACCATATTATTAATGTTTCCGTTTCTACATTTGTGTCGTTGGCTCAATAACTGTTGACGCGGAGCCATAACAAGTATGCCAGGTGCATGAGCAGAACAAGCCAAACATGTCGGTACACATTGCATCCATTAAGTTTCATAACTATATTGCATTTGATGCCAGGAATTTAAGATAGGAAAAAAAGGATTCTTAATCCTTAAATTAGCCACATATTGAGATATTATTATTTGTTTTAAATATTTAAAAAAATCTTTTTCAATAGTTCGACGACATTTTTGCCCATGTACACACAGAGAAAAAGATACGCCTTATTTACTTAATTGCTGCCAAACATTGTTTAAAAATTGAAACGTATCTTGAGATACTCACTTTCCCGTGAATGCAACAAATGCTTTTTTGAAAAAGTATGTGAGAGACGTCCTTCTATTTCTAAAAACAGTTAAGTTTCGAGATTGGAGACCTATTTTACCAGAAAAATTGTATTTTATTCACCCACGAAATTTACGCCTTAGACTCCTTTGCTTTATTACGGTTGTTAATAATGAAACGATCTATGATGTAGACTTGTACTCCCTTTAATCATGTTCATTGCCTTTTACGAAAAAAATATGTTTTGTTCGATCCAGGAAGTGAGTGAGAATGTGGTTTTAGTATTTACGGATATGACTCATGTAAAGCAACATTCATACCCGTCCTATGGGCAAAGTTGAGTACAAGCTTTTGTTGGCTTGAACCCAATATACTTCCGATGATAGGGTCCAGGCGCGTACGCAGGGGGGGGGGGGTGGTTGTTGTGGGGTTCAAACCCCCTCAAAATTGTTTAAGTTTAAAAAAAAAATACAAAATACTTTTTTTTTCTTCAAATTTTAAAAACCCTCCCCTTGACAAAAAAACTCCTGCATTCGCCACTGATGGTGTCACAGTGTTCGATGATTCTAATTCAGGCGTTAACTGAAACTTATATTCACACTCTAAAACAAGTATAAATGTTTTGAGAGTAGTATACTACGCACTTGTCAGAGCTTTAAAGGTAGCGTAACAGACATGTTACCTTTGTCCGCCTCCCAGGTCGGAATTCCAGTTGAAACCAGTAGGTTCAACTGGTTTTTAATATTGAAATTGAAACAACGCTAACTGGGGCCAATTGATTTACCAGTTGATTTACCAGTTGAATTACCAGTTGATTTACCAGTTGATTATCCAGTTTATTATCCAGTAATCAATCAACTGATAATCAATAATCATTATTAGCATCTGGCCACCAACCACATATACAAACTTTTGCAATTACCCCATCAAAATGATCATTTGAAGTAGATTACAGATGTGTGATATTTGAGTTGACATTTATAGTACGAGCATACATTTACAAATGTATACACTTTATTTCCTGGTTAGTAATAACATATATCAACATATTTAATTTTACGTTTTAAATTAGATGAAAAACATGATCAGCCATGTGTAATATATTTGTCAATAATTTACTAAGAAAATATAAATCACAACATTTATGTGCATGTCACATTTGCTTGACAGATCATGATAATTATATTTTCTGTGAAAATATGCAAATTAATCACGAATATGCATAAAATACATTGAACTGGTTTTTCAACTGGTAAATCAACTGGTATTCGTACTGGTTTTCAACTGGTAAATCAACTGGTAATCATCTACTGGTTTTCAACTGGTTAACCAACTAGCTGGTACTCATCTACTGGTTTTCAACTGGGAAATCAACTGGTAATCATCTACTGGTTTTCAACTGGTAAAGCAACTGGTAAATCAACTGGTAATATCAACTGGTCTCGGATGTCAACTGGTATTTATACTGGTTTCCAAATCGTATCAACTGGTATCAACTGGTACCAGTTGAGACCAGTTCAAACCAGTTAATACCAGTTGGAAATCCTTACTGGTTTCAACTGGTATCAACTGGAATTTCGACCTGGGTTTGGTTTATCATCTTCGATGCGCTATGATTAGCCCTTATCAGTAATCTCTGTTCCATTCATCATAATTTACTACCAAAAGATCAAATTGGAAGCAAATGTGGTATAAAATACTCAGACACAAAAAGTAGACAATTTTGGCCACAAATGCTACCACAGCTATCCCAAAACGTAATTTTTATTTTTATTTTAAGCGAAAGTCGTGTTTAAAGTTATTGTAATTATAATGACAAACCACTAGAATCGGAGAGCTCGTTTTGTTTGATATATAATTTGCCATGGTAGCCCGTATATTGTTTGGAGATTTCGCCAATCTAAAATGAATTTTGGCAAGTGAACATTTGTATGGAAATCTTTCACATATATCGAATCATCTTATCTAATTTGTTGAACATCTTTAATATTGCAGTGTTATTTCAAATTCAAAACACAGCTGAATTACGAGTTATGCTTAGAAATGTTGGCTTTGTCCGTTATCCTACTCATTTGTTTAAAAATAAGTTATCGTTATGCTTGATATTCTCATGAGAATTTTCAAGTGGAAGCTTACCGTTTGCCTTATGTCCGAAACAGACGACGAAACGCGCGAGGCCTTCAGTCTTTCCCCTAATCAGCATTGTTGATTGTGTTAACTAAATGCATCTCAGCTACCAGGGATTCACATGTATCTTGTTCTGATTTCAGTCAAAGTAACAGATAAAAACTCACTCTAAAGGTTGTTCTTGAACGTGTCACGAGGAAAGACGATGTCGTTGATTATGTTGCACGATCAGAAACAGATAGGTTGTTGTCTATTAAATGACGAATCTGTCATTGGCACTATGTCGAAACACGCAGTGCTCTGAAAACAATCGCCCCGGAAATGAATCGTAATACATATTACGTGTGCAGAAAAATGTTATTACCCATAATCCTAGTCACAAGTACAATCTACGGACAAGATACCCTGACTTAGATAATGAAAGGCAGAGGGAAAAGTATATGTAGAAAGGTGGTATAGAGTGCGCGTACCCGGAACGAAAACCTTCTACGTGAAATGTTTTGCAAAGTCACCATTATAGCCATGTCAGCATAGTATTTGGATACATATTTTTTGCCTAGTCTGTCGGAAAAAGAATAATTGTGATGCTCATGATATAATTGGCCCGAGCTAGCTATTTAGGACAGTACTGTATTATTTGGAAGCTAACAGCGACAGACAAAAAGAGCATTTTAGAAGAAGAACAAAATTGTTAATAATTTAATCATTGCTGCCGAACAACTTTGATAGATGTATGAGGATGTCCGGTCTGCGTCATTTTTTTTCTGCGGCACAGATTGGGGCTTTTTTTTTAAAGAGGTCTTGATTTATCCCTAACCCTAAAACTAACCCTAACCCTAAACTTTCACATAGGCTCAACACGCACCTAACCACTATCTGTGCCGCAGAAAAAAATAACGCGTCCGGGCTGGTGTTACTCTTTCTTAACATTATCCCGTATCGTTTTCACTGCAGTGCCATTTCCTCCTCTTATTCAATTTTCTTTTCTTTATGTCGGCTACCTACCTGGCTACCTAGCTGCCACCGTCAGCTGCTGGCGATTGGCGACCACATCTGCACATCTTCTTGTTGTCTTTCTCCATTTGTTTATATCCTGTGCTAATCATTTGGCTTCTGAATATGTGAGACCAGGCG